CCACCCACCCACCTTAGTTGTGTGTTGGATATCCTAGGAAATGCCCAAATAATGGACAAAACTTCTTTCTCTTTTATGGGTAGGAAAGAAACATTACGGTGAATCATTTTGTTGGGACAATTATTGCCGTCTCTGCTAAAGTGAGGAATTTGTGACCTCTAGAGTCAGTATAGCTGGGGCATTTCATACTACCACCTTATTAATTGAATTTGTCTTTACTGGCTTTAGAAGTCTTCTGTTGTGTCTAGCCTTTGTATAGTACCCATCAGAAACCTCAATTGTTGTCTCTCCAAGGAACTTATCTTACCTGCAAAGCCAGTCCTAGAGAAAATTGTGTAGGGGTATGTGTGTGTATGTTTTAATCCTTTCTGGGCTTTGCCATTTTCTAACCCCTGGTCATATCCTGTCCATTTCTTCTGTACATCCCTTTGTGGTTTTTCTACCTTCCCCTTAATCGAAGCTTACCTTCAAGAAAGGATCTGCTCCGTAGTAAGGTGTAAATAATATATAGTCACTTAAAGTATTAATTCTTCCAAGAGTTTTTACATCTTAAGAGGGAGCTAAGGAGTGAAATTATCAATATGGAATTTCAAACATAGACCCTTATTTGGAAAGAGGGCTTTCCTATTGCCCTTGAAGTCATACCTCATATCTTTTTTTTTTTTTTTCCTGGACAGTCCCTAATGCAGAACATACTTCATATCTTCTAACTATTTACCTAGAAGCAAGGATTGCTCTTCTATACTTTGCTTGTTTGTGTGCATTGATATAAACTTCTGAGGAGGAGGCATAGGGTGGGAGAAGCAAGTGTATATAGTTTGCTCCTTAATCCTAAAGCATTTCAAACTGGAAAGTAACCAAAGTGTGAGACAATGAATTTAAAATAAGGAAACCCTTTGGGAGGAAGGATACCACAAAACCCTACATATTACACTCCCATTTCCCACGAATATTTTAGGAAAAATTTAGTCATTGACTGAACAAGTAATGAAGCTGAATAAGGAGCCACCCAGGTGAGCAAAGTGTGGGCAGATTTCTGGGCAAGGTTGTAGCTTCTGTTTAGGGGCAGTGGGCACATTTTCAGAGTTTCTCCTGGCTCTGTGGTGGTATAAATTCCTTCCTTGTGTTTCTCAAGTCATGAATTAATATACCATGATCCAAAGCTTTTTGACCACTTAACATTAACTGAAAATTCAGGGAACTTTGTTTTTAGCTACAGTTGCCTCAGTGTTTGGGTGGGAGGGCCACATATTGGGTGTGATTAGGCCATCTGAGGCACAGTACCGGGTGACAGGAAAAGCAGTTAGCCCATGTAAGTTGCAACAGCACCTTGTGGGCTGGGTCCCAAGGGGGCCCTCCATCCAAGGGAGATCACAAAGGGGCCAAGGTGAGAATCGGTTCTCTGAGGCCTATTAAAAACATTCCCAAATGGAACTGAGTAAGATCTATCCAGATGGCACAGAAGGGGAGGAGCTGGTTGGGAAGCAGCATTACTTACCTTTAATTAATTTAGGGAGAACTTGTAAGGGACTGGGCATTGTGCTCTGCTCTGAAGACTTAAGATGACATAAAAAAATAAATAGTCCCACTTTTTAAGAAGTTCATAGTTGAGCAGACAGATACAATTATTCATATAATGTGATAAATGCTATGATAGAAATACAGTCATAATACTATGGGACCCTACGGGACACTAAAAGATGCAATGATGAATTCTACTGAGGTGAAAGGATAATTATGCAATTTCACAGAAGTAACATTTGAGCTTGGCTTTATGAGATACTTTAGGATTTTGCTAGGCAGACAAAGTAAGGAAGGACATTCCAATCTTTCTTAGGTCAATAATAGAGAGTTTGTACTACCTTGCTGATAAGAGATAAGTATGCTTTTTGCCTCTTGGAGAAATATAAGGGAGAGGGTGAGAGAAGTGGAAGGACTCTCTCATTTAATTCAGTGACTCATTGGATAACATTGGATCAACACAGTGAAAGAAGCCAGGTTTGGTGGTGCGAGCCTTTAGTCCCAGCTATTCAGGAGGCTGAGGCAGGAGGAGCACTTGAGCCCAGGAGTTTGAGAGTTTGAGACCAGCCTGGGCAACATAGTGAGACTTTGTCTCTTAAAAACAAAACGACAACAACAACAAAAAACACACCCACAATGGATGAAAGAGCTGAGTCAAGTAGTGGAACTGTCAGTTCAAGATTTTGGTGAGTTAGGTCTAAACAAAGTTGGAGGGGAGATGAAGGGTATTTACTGGTTTCTGCCCTATCTTCCCTACTTAGTAAATCTGTCACATTAATCCCAAGGCCCACTGAATCCTGCAAAAGTTACCATGTGTTTCCCTATTGCCTCCCACTGAATTGCTTCTATTCCAGCTGTCCTGGCAGCGGTTGATCAAGACCTTCTAGAGAGGAGTAATGATGAATTAATCATTCTGTCAGAAGAATATGGGACTGGATTCCAGTTCCCAGGGAGGGCCTGGGTCTTCCTAACTTGTGTTTAGTCACAAAGCAAGTAATTACCTAAACTGAATAAAGGCAGAAACTCTATCCAGTCTAACCTCTTGTTCCAGTCCTGGTGCCCTCCTCAGAATTCATCATTTCCTGCTTCCTTAAGAGGTAGGTATAAAAGAGGCAGGAGTACTTAACTAGGAGTCCTATATTTGCTACTTAGCAGTTAGATATGTGGTAACACCTGACAAGTTGACTAATTTTATGTGCCTCGGTTTCCTCACCTGTAAAATATGGAAACTGGACTAGATGACCTCTAGACTGGCTTTTATCTGGTTAAACTTAAAGGGCTGACATTTGGGACTGGGTTAGATTCCAATGGCTATATATACTGGGAACTCAGTCTCTGTTGATAGGTGATAGACTTTTGGAGGCTTCGTATGTATAGGAACTCAAAGCTAGCAAGTGGCAGGGGGCCTGAGGAATGAAGTCTTGCTCTAGCTGGGATTAGCAGGCTAAGGACCTTTTCTGTTATGCCTACTTCCCTGTGCTCCTTGGGAGAGCTGCTTACACTAAAGAACATCCTCCAACCCCAACCCCCACCCCCAGTGGGCTGACCTGTGGTCAGGCCTCAATCTTCTGTAGTTAATGGGTCATTTGATAAGCCATTCTTGTGGAGCTGTACTTCTAAGGGAAGTTAAATCAGATTTCTTCTCTGAGCCAAAAGGGTTAAAGGGAACAATAACCTGCTCTATCTTCCTTTTTTTGCCTCAGGTTTGAAGGTTATACTCATGAAACCACTTGACTGGTTTGCTTTGGTTTATTTTTTTGCTTTTTGAATGGGTCATTAGCCATTGTCAGCTCTTGGCAAAAAGATCACCACCAGCATAGGGAAGAAATCAATTGAATCTTAGATGTATTATTTCATTTCTGTACCTCTGATCTTTTGAGAGTCTACTGCATTAAAAAATGATAGCATTATAAACATGAAAGTAAAGATAAAGGCTTAGAGATGGGTAGCCCATCAGTTACCATGAACAGGGAAGGCCAAGACGTATTCTTGAGGTTACATATTAGGGTAGTCTTTTCTAACTCAGTAGTTACTAATCTCTGACAATCAATCCAAGGTTGCTTAGTAGTAAGAAGGTTTGCTGACTGTGTCTGGGCTCTGACTTGACTTTCCGTCTGTGGGGGTTAGTGACAAGGACTTTGCAACCTAAGTGTGTCTGTGACTATTTCCTATCTTCACACTCCCCCAATCTCCTGCTGTTTTCCCAGGCCTAGAGTGATGTGTTTAGCCATGAGAATTCAGTCCATTCTAGCTCGCATGTTTTCATGCTGTAGAGTAGTAACACTGAAGCTTAATCTGCCCCTTGGATCAGGCTGAAATATGTAAAAAAAATGTGAGGGACTAAGTTGAAACTAGTAACTTTTCCTATGTTTCTTGAGAGTGTAGTATATGTATGTCACCTAAAGAAAACTTGATCAGCTAGCTTATCATTAGTGTCCTTTTTTCCTATTTTTGTCATCTGTTTTTTGTTTTAAAATTTAGCGTTATGATGGCCTATCCTCTTTTCCTGTGAGACAGTGTATGTGAAGTACTACATAAATATCTTTTTAGAAATCATCCTCAAAGATGCTGAGAAATAATCGTGAAGTACACATAAATATAAAATCTTTTAGAAATAATTTATCCTCACAGCTGCCTTAAGAAAAGCAAGTTTCTTAAATGTACACATAACTTTGTTTTTATTTTATTTTATTTATTCTTTTTTCTTACAGTATGTGACTTTCAACCCAGTACACAGAACTTTGGAAGTGAATTCAAATTGTGGTCTTTGCTGCTTTCACCAATCTCCTTCTTTCCCAAAGATCCTTACAGATAAGGAAGCTGAGGCTCAGAAAGGCAAAAAGAGTAGTCTGTCATCACAGTGGGTTAAGTGGCAAAGCAGGGAACAGAACTCAAACTTGCCTGATTCAAAAGCCCTTACCACTACACAAAATTATTTCTGTCTTGGTTGGCTCTTCCCACTTTCATGATTGCTCCCTAACCTTAGTAGCAGGGTTGGGGAATCCTCTGACCTCTGGAGAACTCATCATTCAGCCTTCATCTGAATTTCAGTAGTAACTATAGCTATAGGCTTTCCAGAGACTAACTTCCTTCCATCTCTACTAATGCATCTTTCAGTGTCAGGCCTCTCCAAAGCAGTGTTTTTTAAACTTTTTTTGATCATGACTTATAGTAAAAAAATAAAATAAAATTTACATCATAACTCGATGTGTGTAAAATACACATATACACAAGTGAAACATTTTTCACAAGCGAAACATTTTTCAGAAAATGATTTTTTTTTTTTTTTTTTGAGACAGGGTCTCACTGTTACTGGGCTGGAATGCAGTGGCATCATCATAGCTCACTGCAACCTCAAACTCCAAGCCCAGGTGATCCTCCTGCCTCAGCCTCCCAAGTACATAAGACTGCAGGCATATACCACCACGCCCAGCTAATTTTTCTATTTTTTGTAGAGATGGAGTCTCGCTGTGTTGCCCAGGCTAGTCTGTAACTCCTGGCTCAAGCAATCCTCCTACCTTCACCTCCCACAGTGCTAGAATTGTAGGCCTAACCACCATGCCCACTGTCAAAATGATTCTTATGTTTACTGTTTGCCATGTACTTGATATTTCTTGTTCTGTATCTTTTTTTTTTTTAATAACTTATGATGTTCCACCAAGTGGCTTTAAGGTCACTATTGGCTTATAGCCCACAGTTTGAGAAACATGACTCTAAAAGTTTGAGGGTGAAGAACAGCTAAAGAACTGCACCTAATGGTTAAGAGGCTAATTAATACTGACTCTTGTAGTAATGGTTCCCAGAATTTTGGATTTCATGAACCAATTAATTTAAATTTGGGGGTTTTTATT